CACACACACACACACACACACACACACACACACACAGAGAGAGAGAGAGAGAGAGAGAGAGAGAGAGAGAGAGAGAGAGAGAGAGAGAGAGCAGCTTAGTGAATATTGCCTATAAGGAATATTGGTGTGGGATGCCTTTCTGTATGCTGTGAATATGTGTTACTCTGATTGGTTGATAAATACAACTGTTTGGCCTATAGCAAGGCAGCTTAGAGGCAGGTGGGAAATCCAGGCAGAGAGACAGGAAGAGAAAGCAGAGGCAGAGAGACGCTAGCCTGCCACCCAAGGAACAACATGCCAGTAGGTATGCCACGGAACACGTGGCAAAACATAGATTAATAGAAATGGGTTAATTTAAGATATAAGAGCTAGCTAGCAAGAAGCTTGAGCCATAGGCCATCCAATTTGTAATTAATATAAGCCTTTGTGTGTTTACTTGGGTCTGAGTGGCTGAGGGACTGGACAAAACACAGGAAAACTTTCCAGCTACAGAGTATTTACTTAATATTTAATTTATAAGAAAAATCACAAAGACACCTTAAGGCATAACTAGTCCACTTTTTTGTTTGGGGCTAATTAGTTTCATAAATTTGGGTATACTTGAAAGTATATTTTAAAGGAAAAATATAACATCTTATGGTTTAAAGAATGAATGAATTATTTCTTAAATAACTTTGTAGCTTTGTTGATCCATTTTGTGTAGTTAAATGATACAGTTTTTTCTATTTGTAAAATGCTCTTATGCCTAGTCGGTTTCTCTTTGTAGCATAATTTATATTCTGCTTTAAGATTTGCCACATAAAAGTGTGTTAAAAGACTAAATGCTTCTTTTCTCTTCAAATTCCCCTGATTTCTATTCTTCTTATGTACATTTAGGGAATCTTGGTCATATGGCCCAAAAGTATTTTACTTACTAGGACATGTAATTTTAACCAAAAAATCATATAATCACAGAAAAATGGTATCAAAAAGAAATTAAGTCCAGGTAATTTCTTTCCCTTCAAGGAAGAGGACATAAGCAAGGCCCAGGTACCATGATGCACCTGAGTAGTGTGCAGATGGACAGACAGGGAGATTGCCGTGCTTGGCTGTTAGGACTGTTTAGTTTCTTGTTTTCTTTCTCAGTGCTGTTGGAAATGGTTGGTTTTCAGATGTGCTTTGAAAAGTAAAGAGGAAGAATTAGAAGTCTGAATTTGACCGTAGTGTGTGCGTTCCTAGTTTTCTCTCTACTAGAGTTAGTATGGCTAGTATTCTCTGCATTTCTTTCCTTTCTCCTGCTGAGTTGGCGGAATCTTCGGCCTGCTTGTGTTTTGAGCTGTTTGCTTGATCGTGTTTGACTTTAAGAATCTTCGCTTGCGATCTTTTCCGTCTATGAATTTCTCCCCTGCTGAGAGATGTTATATCCTGCGCCCTGAGATCTGAGCTATTTTAATAGTTTAAGGTAAAGAGGCTCATTGCTGATGTGTTCCACTTTTTGAGCCTATGAGATGCAGTTCAGGAAGTACTGGCATTTTCTGCATTTTTTTCAAAAGGAGAATAACATTGAAACCTCCCCCATGAACCTCTTAGTAAAATTAAAATGGTGATATGGACATTAGTGTGAGGCCTTGCAGGAGCTGCCCTTCTTTCTGCTCCTACCAAGGTTCTTTGTCATTCTTGTGCTTGCCTGTCTAGAACATTCTTTTCTCATTCTTACTCCTCACAGCTTGTCATCTGCTCCCCCCCCCCCCCCCCCCCTATTTTTCCAGTTCTCTCAAGGGGTTTGGCACCTGTCTCTTTTCTATTTCTTAAAAGTAATTCTTGTTGTCATCATTCAGAATTTGTCAGGATCTCTCTCATTCAAGTCTGTATCTCACTCTTCACTGTTGTCTTACTTCACAGTGATCTTCCAGTGGCTCTTCTTGAGCTACTGATTCATACATTTCAGATTATTCTTTGTCTATAATAGTTCTTCGTTCTTACCTTCAGTTCCAGAATCTCGATCTGGGATTTATCACTTCTTTTATTCACTTTTTTTAAAACCAACCACACCTAGCCCTTAGCCAGAAGCAAATATATGAATCTTACTTGGTTTTCAGTGTCTATATTACCGAAGAACATTCCGGACCTGACTAGTGTCCTGTTTCTCTCCAGCTTGAGCTGTCCATTCTCATGGGAATTGATAGGATTTTGGAATACTGGGAAGATGGTGAACCCTAGACAGCTGGAAAGAAGCAGAGCCTGGGATTCAAAGGAGTGTTACTAGATCATTGTATTTCTGGACCTGTTGCATTGTGAGAACAAGAAGGATTCTTGCTGTTTCAACCAATTTTAGGAGGAGAATGTTCTACCAGATAGTTTTGTCATGAGACTCCAGCCTTTATCTCTATCTGAGAGCCTCTTAACTCATGGCTTGGGTTAAGTCCACATACTTAAGCTGTCTCCTCTTCTAATATGGCCCTATTATCCTTACAGGGTATTTTCATCTTCCTTAGTAGCATAAATATAATGATTCCCTTAACAAGATGTTTGTCTTTAATTTATGGAACTGTATTTTGTGGTGGTATTGTGTTCCCCAAAATATTGTGTACTCTAATCAATTTATCTGGGGTCAGAGAACAGACAGCCACTAGATACAAAGGCTAGAAAATGGTGGCACTCACACCTTTAATCCTAGCATTCCAGAGATAGAAATCCCTCTGGATCTCTGTGAGTTCAAGGCCACATTGGAAATAGCCAAGCATGGTGACACAGCCTTTTATCCCAGAAAGCCAGCCTTTAATCCCAGGGAGTGGTGGTAGAAAGCAGAAAGATATATAAGGCGTGAGGACCAGAAACTAGAAGATTTTGGCTGGTTAAGCATTCAGGCTTTTGAGCAGTAATTCAGCTGAGACCCATTCCGGATGAGGACTCAGAGGCCTCCAGTCTGAGGAGACAAGACCAGCTGAGGATCCGGCGAGGTGAGATAGCTGTGGCTTGTTCTGTCTCTCTGATCTACCAGCATTGACCCCAATAACTCGCCTCAGGTTTGATTTTATTAATAAGAACTTTTAAGATTCCTGCTACATCATTTGTTATTACAACTTATATGAGGCTATTACCTGTTGTACCAGAAAGCCACAGACTGAGGGGAAACCATAGAATTTTATTGGGCTCACAGTTCTGGAGGCTGGGGAGTCCAAGAACATTGTTCTAGCCTTCAGAGAAAGCCATTGTGCTTAGTTAATTGTTTTTTCTTTGAAGATAAATGATTAAAAAATTTAAGTCCATGGTCCTATTTATGGCAGAACTGATAAGCAAAATTCAGTTTTTTTCAGGTCAAAGGTCACAGCTTAGTCACCCCTCCTTTTCTTTCTTTTTTCCTTTTATTCATTTCATTTATGTGTATATATGTATAGTGTGTTGAATACATTTTCCCTCATGGTCCCCTACCTTCTATTTCTTACCCCTCCCTGTTTGTTGTGGTCTCCTTTGTCCCTCTGGACAGTTTTACTCTTCACCTGTACATATGTATACATATGTGATTTTATGTAGCTTTGTAAAGTCTGTTTCAAATTGACCTTCCAGATTCTGAAAGGAACCTTAATATTTACCTTACTGCATCTCATAAGCATACGCAGCATTTTTCTCTGTTAAAAGTAAAAGTAAAAGTAAAAAACAAAAACTAAAACGACAAAAATCATAGCAAGGACGGTGTGTTGAGCTTGGGCAGCAAGCGTAAGCATCGCTCCTGGCCAGTGTGTGGCGGAAACAGCTTTGGCTCCACTGGCTGCTGTTGCCTTTTGAAATGAACGTGCTGAGATTCAGACACCAGGATGGTCGGTTCTTGGCCTCTGATAATGAGACACCAGGATGGTTGGTTCTTGGCCTCTGAGAATCAGACACCAGGATGGTCGGTTCTTAGTCTCTGATAATGAGACACCAGGATGGTTGGTTCTTGGCCTCTGATAATGAGACACCAGGATGGTTGGTTCTTTGCCTCTGTCGCCCAGTTTACACTTCCCCTCCAGGAGATATATTTCTCTTGAGATCCTTCCCATGCCTTGTGTCCATCTTTGTTGGCTCTCCTGGTTTCTTGTTGTTTGTTGCTGGGTTTCTTATCAGACATTGACATTATTTGATTAGTTTATCACAAGGGACACACATGTATCATAACATATTTGATGTTGTCTAGGTTCCTCATATTATTGTTTATCTCTTTTTATCTCTTCTTTTTGAGTGTCTCACTGGAATATTCATACTGTTATTTTAAGCAATGTTTTAATATTTCAGTATCTAGTAAGTCACAACAGAGGGTTTTTTCCCCCTCTTCATCCCTTTGCTTGATTTTTATCTTCCATTTAAGTAATTGTTGATCATTATGGATTCGTACATTTTGGTAATAGGTATTTGAAATACATGTCCATACCAGTGAGGTAGTATAATATGTGATTTTATGTAGCTATATAATAACTATATGCTTATTGCATTTCTAGCTTTAAAATATTTTTTCATTAAAAAAGGCTAAATATGATTTAGTGAAATTTTCTTCTTCTTATGGATTAGGTTTGATCTTGTTACTTGGAAGATCCGTGGTAAATTTTGCAGTAACCATCTTTTCATTTTGTATCCATGACCCACTAGCTTCTGAAAGAGAAAGATGAATTGAAAAGCCAGTTTTATGGAGCATTGCAACAGATTGAGAATCTCAGGAAGGAACTGAATGACGTCCTGACCAAGCGTGCTCTGCAGGAGGAGGAGCTTCACTGTAAGGACCAGAAACTCAGCGATGTTCAGTCTCACCAAGTTGAACTTGAGCTGGAGGTCAAGAATTCCCTCGACACCATCCATCGGCTGGAAAGTGAATTGAAAAGACAGAGTACGATGCAAAGCCAGATAAAAGCCGAGAAGATTCACCTGGAGGAAGAAATTGCAGAGCTGAAGATGAGCCAGGCCCAGGACAAAATCAAACTTCTGGAGATGCAGGAGTCCATCAAGGACTTGAGTGCCATCCGAGCAGATCTCGCTAATAAATTGGCCGAAGAAGAGAGAGCTAAGAAAGCTGTGTTCAAGGACCTTTCTGAACTGATGGCCCAGACCAAGTCCAAAGAGGAAGAAATGGCTACCATTATCACACAGTTAAACTTAGAACGAGACGTTCACCAGAGGGAGCTGGAAGATCTCACATCCTCACTGCACAGTGTGAAAACGAAGCACGAACAGAATATCCAGGAGCTGATGAAGCACTTTAAGAAAGAAAAGAGTGAAGCAGAGAATCATATCAGGACACTGAAGGTACCTGTGCTTAATTATCTTGATGATACTGACAGAATTTTTTTTCTGGTGCCTCATGAAGTTAATAAAGCATGAACTTTTAGAGATCATTCTGTATTCCCAAGCATTGCAGGGAAGATAAAACCAACAATAAAGAGGTTTATTCATGCCTGATTGGCCAGGTCGAAATGAGTTATAGCAGCCACCTGGGAGCGTCTATTTCAGAGCATAGGAGCCCTTTAAAGAGAACATTTAGCTATTTTGGGAGTTCAGGAAAGGTAGAGGTGGCAGTAAGTCCTGGACCTGAAATGTGCCCTCATTCAACATTTATGACCTCCTAAAATACAAAAGGCAAAGACTTGTCAAGGCCACAGAAGCTATAGCCACAGTCCTCATTTGTATGGTAACTAAAGCTACACAGCATGTAGGTTGTGAGACCCCAAAGGCCTCTGTGATTTCCTCTTTCTCTTTTCAATCAATGCTTCCTGGGTAAATTCCTGATTGAGATTTCTTGGATTTGTAGAAATGTTTTGAAAGCCTAATGTCATGGGCATTGTCGCCATGCGGGGCAGTCATTGATATCACATGGCTGTCAGGTGTGTTCACTTTATCCACCTTTCTACTTTTCTTTTCTTCTATCCTACATAAATGGTGAAGGTTCTATATTACATACTTATGTTTTTAATTTCCCTTAGTCAGAGTGAAACTCATGAGATTTGTTTCAGCTGTGGGATCAGAGCCTCAGATAGTTTCTGATACCTTGCACGTATTTGTTTAATGGGTGAACAAATGGATAAATTGTTGAAGTTTAGCAGTCATTTTCCTTCAGAAGTTTTTGCAATGCAACTACTACTGTAGAAGTACTTAAGATTAAGAGAACATGATATTGAGGTACCTGGTACCTATAGAACACTGTTCCATAGTTTTTTTCAGAGTTTTGTCTAGCCCTCTGGCAGTAGCCATCTGAGGACCATTAACTGACGTGGCAGATCAGAATGAAGGGTAGACAAATAGGTGAGGTTTCACTAATAGTCCTTGACACCATATTTTTAAGGTACACTATTGTCGCATGCCACTAAGAAAAAATATACTGTCTCCTACATGTGGAACTGTGACATGCTGTCACCTAAGCTAGCATCCCAAATGGGAGATGGAAAACTCTGAAAAATTTGTATTTTAATATTTAGTAAATTAGGTGCAATAGCCCTTTAGAAGGATGAGGACATGAATAAAACTGGAATTAGGGTTATGAAGAAGAGCTCAGATTACATGCTGGCTACTACAATAATACAGTTAGAAAGTATTTTTGAGCACTTTGTGTCAGTTACAGCTACAAGGACTATTAGCTATATAAGCTAATAGTTGAATACATCAACCCTGACAATAGTGTGCATTGCTTTCTCACTCACAAGGAAATTGAGACGTAAGTGTTAAGTAATAACATGCCTGGAGAATACTAGAGACATGATTTGAACCCATGTAGTCACCTGCTTGAGTTGTCACTTGGCTGTTCTGGGAACGATTTAGAACCAAAACCAACTGGGTAGTAAGTTTGGTGAGCAGGTGAATAATGTCACTATTTGTGAACTTAGAATGTTCAGACAGTACAGAAAATCTGGAGAGAAAAATGTCAAATCTAGTTTCTTACTATGGTGAGTTAGGTGGGAGGGTCTTACACTTAATTAGGAAAGTCTAGGTATAAAGCACTTGAGTACATACAGGGTCAGGAGGTGAGGGGAAATTGAAATTAGAACAAAAGTATGTAGGAAGCAGGAACTCATGAGCGTTAGGTTCTCTCGCAAGATTTGGGGCATTGTACAAAGCCAAAGAGGAGAACAACTCTTTAGAATGCCAGCATTTAAAGAAATAACTGAGAAAGAGGGTCTAGACAATAAGAATAAAAGACTACATGAGAGACAGAAATGTGCTCATTCTATTTCACAGCAAAGGCCCACAAGGAAATGTAAGGGTCCTGGGTCTAACAGTAGACAAAGCATCTCTTTCTCTGCAGGCTTTGGAAGACACTGTTGAGCATGTTCACTGACAGGGGAGGTCTGGAGGGGTCGCTGTAACTGGGAGAAGTAGAATTGAGCAGCGATAGGCAAACACAGATGGGGAGACTGGTATAGACCAGTGTAGGGGCTTGGGAGTAGAAGAATAGGCATTTCTGGTAAATGAAAGAGAGAGAGGCTGGAGCTAAAGGTCCATTTTTAGAGGTTTTTCATTCAGTCAGAACTTCATTGAGGGCAGATTTTTAGAGTTAAAGTCATCCACTGGGTTTCCATTGTGAATGTGGGTGAAGTATCTGAAATTGAATAAGTAATTCTGAGGTTAGCTTGGTGGGTGGACGTGTGGACAGTTATGGTACTATTATGAAGGGATTAATTCATCATATGTAAAAAATCTCCATAAAGAGGGTGATTGGTTCATGAGCTGTTGTGGAGGAATAGTGTAAACCTAACAGGAAAGCTGGCCTTTGCATGATGGTGATCATGAAATGTTTTGTCAGCAGTACGGGACAGTGCCTTGACGTCTGGGTCTTCCCAAGGAGCTTATAGTTTTGAGTGTCATTGAAAATGGAGTGTCCTTTCATTCTCATCACTTCTGCTTACCACTGTTAACTAGGCTGTGTGGTAAGCTTCATGTTACTTTTGGGGAACTTGTAATAATTTGTTCAGTTAGAGTAGGTTCTGGATCATCTTTACAGGAACAAAATCCCTCAAAGAAAACCAGGAAAACACATACAAACATTTGGAAGACATGAATAAATTCATTTAAGAAAGCTAAAAAAGCTCAGAAAAAGCAAACAGGTGAAGGAAATGAATAAAACTGTTCAAGACCTGAAGATGGAAATAGAAGCAGTAAAGAAAACACAAACTGAGGGAATCCTGGAAATGGAAAATCTAGGTGAGTCAACAAGAACTACAGATGCAACCATCACCAACAGAATACAAGAGATGGGAGAGAGAATCTTAGGCATAGAAGATATAATAGAAGAAATTGATACATCTGTCAAAGAAAGTGTTAAATTAAAAAAAAAAATTGCTGATGCAAAACATCCAGGAAATCTGGGACACTGAAAAGAACCAAACCTAAGAATAATAGGAATAGAAGAAGAAGAATCCCTCCTTATAGGCCTAGAAGATATTTTTTGACAAAATCATAGAAGAAAATTTTTGTAACCTAAAGAAGGATTTTATAGAACACCAAATAGATTGGACCAGAATAGAAACAAAGAGAGTAATACAAAGTGTTAATGAAACAAAAAGTTGGTTCTTTGAGAAAACAAGATAGACAAACTCTTATCCAAGCTAACTAGAAGGCAAAGAGAGAGAGAATATCCAAATTAAGAAAATCAGAAACAAAAAGGGGAATGCAACAGACACTGAGGGAAATGCAAACAATCATTAGGTCTTACTTCAAAATCTACTCCACAAAATTGGAAAATCCAAAAGAAATTGACAATTTTCATGATAGATATCACTTACCAAAGTTAAATCAAGATCAGATAAATAATTTAAATAGGCCTATAAACCCTAAGGAAATAGAAACAGTCTTTAGAAGTCTCCCAACCAAAAAAGACCAAGGCCAGAAGGTTTTAGTGCAGAATTATACCAGACTTTCAAAGAAGAGCTAACACCAATACTCCTCAAATTATTCCACTCAATAGAAACAGAAGGAACATTCCCAAACTCTTTTTATGAGGCTACAGTTACCCTGATACCTAAACCACACAAAGATTCAACAAAGAGAATTATAGACCAGTTTCCTTCATGAACATAGATGCAAAAATACTTCATAAAATACTTTCAAAGTGAGTCCAAGAACACATCAAGAAGATCATCCACCATGATCAAGTAGGCTTCATCCCAGAAATGCAGGGATGGTTGAATGTATGAGAATAAGTCAATATAATCCACCATATAAACAAACTTGAAGAAATCATGTGAATATCTCATTAGATGCTGAAAAAGCCTTTGACAAAATCCAACACCCCTTCATGATGAAAGTCTTGGAGAGATCAGGGATATAAGGGATGTACCTATATAGAATAAAGTCAATATATCTCAAGCTGATAGTCAACATCAAATTAAATGGAGAGAAAGCCAGGAACAAGACAAGGCTGTCTACTTTCTCCATATCTATGCAATATAATAATTGAAGTTCTAGTGAGCATAGTAAGACAACTGAAGGAATTGGGATCCAAATTGGAAAGAAAGATGTTGAAGTATTATTTGCAGAGCATATGATAGTATACATAAATGACCCCAAAAATTTTACCAGGGAATTCCTATAGCTAAGAAAAACTCCTTTAGTGAAGTGGCTAGATACAAGATTACCATCCCCCCCCCCCAAAAAAAAAAACCAAACCAAAACCAAAAACAGTAGCCCTTCTATACACAATTGACAAATAGACTGATAAAGAAAACAGGAAAACAACACTCTTCACCATAGCCACAAATACTGTATAATATCTTGGGTTCACTAACCAAGCAAGTGAAAAACTTGTCTTATTAGGAGCCATTGTGGACCAGGACATAAATACAGCTTATAGCAATTGATAATTCAGATGTTAACCCACTAGAGGAATGATTCTCAGAGGGGTACCCTGGCAAGCAAGGTTTGGAGGTCACTGACTGAATACAGTTGCTCCTATCTTTAATTTCTTGTGTAATAACAGCAATGATATCTCCCCATTACCATGCATTTTCATGAGATATGTATATGTAATCTCATGATTGCATCTCAATCTTATGAGCACATATATATCCATGGATGGTCAGGAAGATGACTTCTCTTTAGCTGTACAATTTTGATATATAGAAACTATACTAGGATATTCTTTGTAGCTAGAGCTATTGTTCCATGTTGGCTGTAGACACTTAATAGCCTGCTTTCTTCACACAACCAGATCTTTGTTCCATTCCCCAACATTAACTTAGAAGTCTTCCCCCTGCAATTATCTTTATGGCAGGACACTTGGTCAGAAAAAGTGTCTATACAAATAGATCACAACTGGA